CTCTCTCTCTCTCTCTCTCTCTCTCTCTCTCTCTCTCTCTCTCTCTCTCTCTCTAAAAATAATAAATACATATAAATGCATATAGAGAGGGGAGGGGAGGGAAGAGGAGTGTAGAGGAGGGGAGAGGAGGGGTGAGGAGGGGAGGGGAGTGGAGCTGAGAAAGACACTTGACGAACGCTGTTTCAAAATCAAACTAGAGAAGTTTTCAGCCTTTTTTCTTTTCTTCTCCTTTTTCTTTTTCATTTTTTGTTTTTGTTTTGTTTTATGTTGTTTTTTGCCGTTGTTGTTTCGTTTCTTATTTATTCATTCATTCATTCATTTATTTGTTTATTTATTTGTCTATTTATTTGTTTGTTTGTTTGTTTGTTCGTTCGTTCGTTCGTTCGTTTGTTTGTTTGTTTGTTTGTTTATCTATCGTGTTATTATTTGAATTGCATGTTCCACCGCGGGTCATATCTGCACCCACAGAAACCCTAAGCCCTGTGTTTCAGGTCTGGAAATTCAACCCAGTAACCTTCTGAAACGGTGCAAAATGAAATAAAATGAAATAAATTAAAATTTGAATTAAAAAAGTAAAAAAAAGAAATATTCAATATATTAAAAACGCACAAATTAAACGGACTGTCTGAAACGATTTTTAGTGCATTTGCCGGAAAAGTCCCTATCGTACAACTAATACAGACAGACAGACTTAGAGCTACTAGGTTACATGTACTGTCCTTGTCTTCGTTATAACTTTCTATATTTTCCCAGACATGCTCAGTGTTGCTAAACCTTTCGTAGTGTGCAGTTGATACGGCTTGGTATAACACAACTTCAAACTCACTTTCTTACCAATTCAAGTGGCTACCCAGGATCGTTTTTTGATAATTTCGTTTCGTTACAAATAATTAATAAACATCGTTAACCTCATTTTCTCGTAGTAAACGAATGAACTTTTCTTGTGAAAGCCATCATGGTGTTCCCGTCCTGTGGCGTTGTTCAACTCACAGATCTTTTTCTCTCTGCTAAAGTTAAATGACTTACAACCATTATACAACTGACAGTAATTCATGCAGGTGAAAACATCCGGGACATATGCTTCCGTGTACATCACGTGACCGATAATTCTGCTGCCCTCGCCCTCTTCGCCTTCTTGAAAAATTGAATCGGGTTGATCTAAGTTGAACAAAATGTATATAAATGTGGCTGCCGTCAGAGTTTACTACTAAAATGAAGTTCCTAGTCGAACTGCTTGATCAAATTCGGACTTTTATTTGCACATGCGATCACCTTTTTAACTAATAAATTGGTAACCCAAAATCAAATCAAAATTAGATAACACTACATTACGGCCACACGCGCTCGTCGTACGTTCTACGTTCTTCAATGTTTCAGCGCTGGCCAGTTACCACAGGAAAACCAACATTGAAAAAAAATTAAACTTAAAATATCTAGCTAAAATCCTGATGAAACGCCACGGAATAGGGAGTTTCAAAATACCTGCCCAAGTACACTATAAAAACCTCACCTGCTCTGGTGTGCCTTCCGTTTTCAATGCAGTATCGACCAGGTAATGCCTTAGGTACGTCGCTGAACTTGTACACGTAATATCCAAAACACTTTCTGATGTGTACCGTGGTGTTCTGATAACAGCAGTCACCGTTGAAGTGAAAGCAGACAGTTTTCTTGACGATTCCATCTTGGATGCTTGGATGTGCTCCGTTCAACCATCCAGGGGCCTGGGTACCACACCTGTTCTGTGGGACACACGTGGTTGGTAACTGATTACCAGATGGGCTCTGGATACGATACCACTTGTTAAGGTCAATATCTGTGTTATCATTCTTTACTTGAGATGACTGGTAGATGTGGTTGACAGCCCTGGACACGTCAGTGATGATGCGGTAGTCATGGCAAAGATGAAGAGGAGCTGTGTTTTTTAAAATATAAAATTTTAAATAAGAAATGCTGTAAGTTGAATAGAAAAAAAGCGTGGTCTTACCTTTTGCCTTGAGGGTCATGTTCTTTGTTCCTTCTCGGGTGGTAGCAACACACACGTACTCGCCATTATTCTCAGTGATAGTGATCTCTGCAGTAGATGTCTTGTTTACTAGCACTACCCCTGAGMGTACCCAGGCCACGTATGGAGTAGGTGAACCTTTGGCTTGACATTTCACTGTCTCATTCGTAAACACGAACGTGTTGTTCTGGAAGCTTGGAGTAACTTCAAGAAATCCTTAGCAAGGAAATAACATAAGGTGTTTATCAAAGGGGGTCAATTGTACTCGAAAAAGGGAGTTGAACTTAAAAGTTGACAGAATGTCTCCTATTTTGGAGCTTTAAACATTCCACTATATAGACCCCTTGCATATGACATCAAAGCAGCTCGATCTGGGGGACAAAACAAAAGAATCCCAATCTCCTGAGAATTGGAACATATTGTTTTGTCCCCCGAATTGAGCTGCATTTCAAAGTGCTGCAAGGGGTCTATTTAGAGTAAATAAGACTCGCGAGAGTGAAAATAACTGTTTACGTTAGAGTTGAATTCAATCCCTTAGATTGGGTTTATGTAACTTTTTAGTAACGCTTTATTAACTAGTATATGTTCTATTTATCCTTACGTCTGTATATCTATAAAGTTTAGATTTTTTTTA